AAGTAGAAGGAAGGGCTGGAAGGATGGCTCAAGCAATTAAGAGGACTGGCTGCTCTTCCAGAGGACATTGGTTTAGTTTAGTTCCCAGCACCCACATGGCAGCTCACAACTGCCTGTAACTCCAGTTCCAGGGGATCTGATGGCAAATACACGGTGCAGACACACAAACAAAACACCCATACACATATAGTTCTTAAAAATAGTTGTTTGGAGGGACACAAGAGGGTAATGGAGTTATGATATAACATCATGTACATATATAAAAATGCCATAATGAAATCCATAACCCTTATTGCATATAATATATGCTAATAAAAAAACTGTAAATTGACAGACGATGGTGGTGCACAACTTAAATCCCAGAAGAGAACTCTGAGTTTGAGGCTGTAGTTTTGGTGCCTGTCCTGGCTCTCCCTCTGTAGACCAGGCTAGCCTCGAACTCACAGAGACCCTCACGAATGCTGGTATCAAAGGCGTGTGCCACCACCCCCCTGGCTGAGGCCAAAATGGACAGCCAGAGCTAGAGAGAAACCCTGTCCAGAACAAAAACAAACAAAAAAAGCAAAACAAAACAAAGCTAGCCTGAGCTACATGGGAGAAAAGGAAATAATTAGCAGGGCAGCTAGTGATCAAAGGTGGTCTATTATTATGAATCGAAGGCTAGTATCTATTGGTCTTAATTACTATCATACAATGTATCTCCATTTGTTCACAACTGATTTGTAAATGGCTTTTCTATCTAAAAAAAAATTAATACCTGACAATGTTTTAAGAATGTGTTTCATCTCTACATCAATGTTGAATGAACATAGTGCTGTTAGTAACAAATACAATGGCATAAGTCAACATGAGCCACTACAAATGAAATTTCTTGCTAGGTTTACTTCTATGTAGAGAAAAATCATTGTTTTCAAAATCCAGTCATCCATATTCAACTACTAAACACCATGACTCAAAAAAACAACTACCGCTGGGCGGTGGTGGCACATGCCTTTGATCCAGCACTTGGGAGGCAGAGCCAGGTAGATCTCTGAGTTCGAGGCCAGGCTGAGATACAGAGCAAGATCCAGGACAGGCACCAAAACTACACAGAGAAACCGTCTCAAAACAAACAAAAACAAAAAAAAACCAAAAAACAAAAAGACAACTACAGAGCCAGGTCCAATTTCAGCAACTGGGAAGTTGGAGGCAGGAGTTTTAAAAAAAAAGACAAGTGCAGATTTTGTTTGAAAAGATGAACATCTTTTAGAAACTGTTCTACTAGTCTAAGAACTTTGGAGAGAAATACTGTCAAATTCAATTACTAATTATAATTTACTTTTGATAACATACTAGATGTAGAATAAAATATGGCAATGCCATCTACAGGACAATGTAGATGTCTCCATTGGCTCATGGCTTTCTATACTACAGAAAATAGTCCAACCAATAAATACAATACACATCAAAATCAGTAAAATACAGGTATTCATCCCTCAGACCCCCTCCCACTCTTGGGAGTTCTCACAATTTAATAAATCTCTATCTGCTCTGAAAAAATATTAAAATACAAAACCTTTTAGAACATATAGTCCTCTAGTATTTATGGTGAACATAATCTTTCCATCTCCCCAAGGTTGAATATATGCTAGTCTAGTTTCACTGGAAACAAAACATACAGCTGAACAAAAGCTAACTTTAATACTAGATTATAATGCCTTTGGTGGTGACACAAGCCCATAAACCCAACACTAAAAGGCTAAGAGAGCATTATCAAATATGAGTTTGAGGCCAGCCTGGGCTACATAGGGAGCTCCTGCCTCAAAAGGGGGCTGTGGATGTATGTAATGTGATCAACCATCAGGCTTCTGCTGTTATAACTTCTCACCATGATGACTATACTCTGAAACTGTGAGGCAAAATAAGCCCTGCCTCCCTAAATAACATTAAAATTTAGACTATTAATAGCCTTGCTTCACAGTTGAGTAGTTCAAGTAATCTATATATATGGTCAAATTCCATCTGCACCATTTACTAATTAAGTGACAAGTTACTTCTTAGTACTTCAGTTTTTCTGTGAAACGGACATAATACCTACCACACAAGATTCTTGAGAATTATTGTGTACAAGTACTATATTGCCCGCTAGTATTAATACGCCACTAAAATGGCAGTATTTAGATGTCATGCTATTATAATCAAGTAAACATTTAAGAGCTGGACGAGTCGCTATAGGTATGAAACTATAGCACTTAGGATACTTGAGGCAAGAAGACTGCTACATATTTGATGCCAGCATGGGCTATGCAGTAAGACCTGTCTCCATTGTAACTTTGAAAGTCAATAAATTATACTGAATGGTATTTCCTTTTAAGGTTTTTTTTTAATTAACATACTAACTTCAAATTTCACCAAAAAACAGTCGCCTATTAGAATATGAATGTAACAAAACTTTTGATGCTAAAAACTCAAGGCCTATCTATAAAAAAGTTTCTTATTCTAGTAAGTCAGATGTCTACTAGTACACCAAGCCAAATCCTGAACATACTTTTCAAACCTTCCAATCAATGTTAGAATGAAACTAACAATGCCTATACTGTTTATTTTTTTCCTTTCTTCTAACCTCTTGTTCTCCACTGTTCACTATAAGCCTATTACGTGATGTTAAAGAAAATGAGAAATAGGCTGGGTGTGGTGGTGCTCACCTTTAATCCCAGCACTTGTGAGGCAGAGGCAAGTGGATCTCTTGAGTTCCAGGCCAGCCTAATCTAAATAGTAAGTTCCAGGCTCTGTCTCAAAAAACAAAAACACAAAGAAAAAGAAACACTCCTATAATCATTCTAAAGTGATAAATGTTTTTCTACTAAAAAGTTGAAACTCAAAGACAACTTCTCCCAACATACAACAAAATCCGAGATGGTAAACTAGTTGTTGAAAGCTCCAAATTAAGAGCTAGATCATGGTATCTACCGTCTGTAATTTCTGCTAGTAGGGAGGCTTAGGCAGAAGCATTTCAAGCTCAAGGCTGGAGCAAGTTAAGAAGATCCTATCTCTATTAGTTTTTTTGTTTGTTTGTTTGTTTTTAAAAGTTGTGATTTTTAGGGGTTGGGGATTTAGCTCAGTGGTAGAGCCCTGGGTTTGGTCCTCAGCTCCAGAGAAGTGGAAAAAAAAGTTTTGATTTAGCCCTATCATATACTGTTTGAACTGCTGCCTGGTGTACAGTTAGATGTTAACAATTATTTTCAGTAAACATGAAGACTACCGTGCTTTCTTAACTACAACCTCCCTTACAGATGAGCATAAAACCGTATCCCTAGACAAAATGGAAAATATAAACATTTCCCCCAAGGAATATATCAAACTCCATGGAGAAAGCAACTAGGGTTCATATTCCCTAATTCCCTATGCCACTTTTAGTACTTTCAAGTGCAGTCAGAGCAACTTCTGGATTTGGCTTATGCAATTTAAGAAACACATGCCACCTTACCCATATTTCAAACCGAATCCTAAGGTTAAGCCAGTTCAGTGTTTTGTTGTTGTTGTTGTTGTTTAGTTTTTAAGGTGGTTTGTTCACATCCTTAGTCATTTAAAATCAAAAAGAGATGTTTAAAAGGCTTTGGTACAGTCTGATATGTTAAGCCCCCTTAGATCAGATCCTATATGAAAGAACTTCCAACCTATTCTACCAATGGCCTTTGGGGATGAGTGACTTTTCTTGTATCAACACAACCATCCACACCTCAACTACACCAAGAGAATTCACTATCTTGCCTTACATCCTAAAGTATTACATCACCTCATTTTAAAGAATGTTTCTAGAAACATTCAAGTTAGGTGGCCAAAGGTCAATTTCATCCTCCTCTGCATGCTCTCTCATGCTATTTCCTTGGCTTTGTCATCTAAATAGAAAGGAATTTTCTTTGTACTTTCATAATCTCAGTTGTGAAAATAGAGTTGGTTACCCAGATGCATACTATTTCCATCAAGATTCTAAATCTTTAGATTCGAATGACAAAAAAAAAAAAAGCAGCTCTGGGAAATAAACCACTAAAAAACTGTAACACGCAGTAAGGCAAGAAGGGAAAATTTAAACCAAATCCAGAAAATTCCAAATTACTGGACAGTCAAAACCTACTCTAACGAAAGTGTTGCACGTTTTACAATATGGCACTAAGATTTCAAAAAAAACGTAACTGTTCCTACATTGATTTCAAAAATGAAGAGTAGACTTCTTAAAAATCTGAAGTTGAAGGTAAATTGGAGATTCTTGGTCATAATCGAACTTCTCATTTTCCCCCCCATAGGGAAATTAATGCACCAAGAACCTACCTTCCCATCCTTTTAAAATACAAATGCCATAGTAAGTTTGGAGTTAAACAGAAGAACCCTATTTAATCTAATGCTTCCCAAAAAAAAAAAAAAAAACTATATGGAAATGAAGTGTGATGGCAAACTGTGCATGGAGCTCATATCCTAACGGAGATTTTCTAAGTAAGAGAAGACGCTGGCATGGAGCACATTTCAAGTAGACACGCATAGCTGAAGGATTTCCACAGTGAGAAAACACTTGTCCTCAGAACGCAACGGCCTTGGAGAGAGCCTCAGAATCCATGGCCACGGGCTATTTCCACAAGCCGACTTCTCAGAAGCATCTTTAGGAGGCCACATCAGCTTCTCTGCCTTCGGGGGGCTGGGAAGGAGGGGGGGGGGCACCAAGCCCCAGCTTTCCTCTCTGGGAGCTGCAGCCTTATGGATAACGCTTCAAACCTGAGCTCCTTTCCAGCTTCCACGGGGAGAGGGGGAGCGGCGGAGCGTGGTTCCACCAGCCTAGGCTCGCGGCCCCGCGCTGGGCGGCAGCGAGGGCAAGAGAGACGGCGGGCGCTTGCTTGCGTGCGTGTTTACGTGTCTCGGATGGGTGTGGGAAGAAGAGGAGAAGGCAGAGAGGTCCTAATGAGAAGATGGAGGGGGGAAAGAGAGAGAGAGAGAGAGAGAGACGAGTCGGGGAGAAGGGGAGGCACCACCTTTCTTTTCTCTGCTCTTCCTGGGGATCTGAAAACTCCGCCTAACAGGCCTTTCGGGCTCTTCGGCGCCTTTGGGGAGAGCGGCCGCGGCCGCCTCGGAGGCGTGCTGAGGCTGCTCGTGGCTGTGGCTCCGGGCGGCTTCGGCTGCCGCCGTCTCCTCAGGCCCCGCGCCGCCGCCGCCGCCGCCGCCGCCGCCGCCGCCGCCGCCGAGCTCCGCGGTGGAGGAGGTGGAGGAGCAGCCGCCGCCGCCGCCGCCATCTTGTGGAGAGGACTCAAGCTCCGGAAGCGCAGGCTTCATCCCGTCGTCGCCGCCGCCGCCGCCGCCGCCGCTCTCCCAGCTCGCGTCCGTCGAAGAGGCCTCGGTCTCCGCGGCCGTCGCCATCGCGCGGGCGTGAGGAGCTCCCGGGAAGCTTCCGCCCAGCGGGTCGACGGGGCGTGGGGGTGGGGGGAAGGGCGGCCCCCGCCGCCGCCGCCGCCGCCGCCGCCGAATTCCTCGCTACCCACCCAGCCCCTCCGCGCCCCCCGGGGTGGGCAGGGCCGCACGCCAGCCTCCGAGACGCCTCGCGAACGTCCGGGCGGCTCCGAGCGTGCCCCTGGCCCCGGGAGCCGCTCCCGACTCAAGGCGGCTTTTCAACCGGCCCCGGCCACCCAACGTGCTCGCGTCGGGCCCGGGAGAGGGGCGGGGCCTCGGCGGGCCCGCTCCACCAATAGGAACGCCGTGCCCGCCTTCGAGCATGCAGATAGACCGCGCCGGGGGGGCGGGGCCTCGCGATGCCGAGCCCGCCAAAAGGGGCGACTGCCACGCCCGGCCTGAGCGTCGACGCCGTCGCCGGAGGCCGAGGGCCTGGGCCTGGGCCTGGCGGCCGCTCTGCGAATTCCTGAGCCCTGGACCTGCCCGCATTACGTCAGTTGCGGCAAGCCCGGCGCGGGCTTCCCGACACTTGGTGTTGCCTCTTTCCGGCATGTCCGCCTTCTCGCCGATCCCGAGTTCTCTAGGTCCAAACCGGCAGATCATTGGCTGCTCCTGGTTTTGTGACCTACTCGGTTTAGAGCGTTGGCTGCTCTCACGGAGGACCGCGGTTCGATTCCCAGCAATCACATGGCGACTGCTAACCAGCCGTTAACTCCGGTTCAGGGGATTCATGCCCTTTTCTGGCCTCGGTGGGCACCAGGCGTACAAGTGGTGCTCTGGCATACATTCAGGCAAAACACCTACACACGTAAAGCCTATGAAACGGGCAGGGAGGGCAGGTAAGAAAATGGCCTCCAGTGATAAGCTAAAGCAGGGGGGTGACTATAACCTCCTCTGCCCTTCAGACCTCCTGCCTTCCCAGCCGATCACGTGCACCCGTCCTCCCAGTCCCTAGCTCGACACAAACAAACACTCAAATAGTTGGGATCTTTCCACATAGCTTACATCCTAAGGATGAGGGGAGGAAGGCTGCTGGCTTTTAGACATTGCTCCTTGGCTTTTTCCCCTACAGTACACACACACACACACACACACACACACACACACACACACACACGCATGTACACACGCACGCGCGCGCACACACATAGGCACGCGCATGTACACACACGCGCGCGCGCGTTATCACCAAGAAGAAAGCAATTTGTAGTCAAATGAAGGGCTTTTCTAGTTTCTTCGTAGTTAAGCCGTCCTTCGTTGCTATCAATACAGACAGTATATAAGCAGTGCTTTCTGTATGCTAGGTAATAAATCAGTTGAACCTATATTAACTCAGTTTCGTTCTCACAACAGATTCCAAGGAGACACTTTCGTGCAATTTAAATGTTGCAACTTGGACAAATGGAGGTGACTAAAGTCAACACGTAAAGCCAGGTCTAATTCCACCCAAACTACTTCCACACTGCACTGGCTAAGACCTGATTTTCAAGCGGCTCTGCCTGCAAGCGTTTTATGAAGAAACAGAGGATATGTTTTCAGTCAAGGTCTTCAAGCAGCAGCTGCAGGATCCCCAGATCTCTGTTCTCCAACTCCTCAATATCGCTGAAGGAGTTGTTAGGCCAAGATGATAAACTGCAGTAAAGCCGTGGCCTCTGTCAGGTGATTGCTATTTGAAGAGTGTTCCAAGAACAACGGACTTGCAGAGATAAGCATTCCTTGTTGGACATCGGAGGTGGGCTGCCGGGTGCAGGGTAAAGGCTGCCCCTCTGTGAATCAGCAAGTTGGGGAGATGTGGGTACATCAGTTATCAGTGAACAGCTAAGGTAGGTTGCTGATGTTCAATCCCGTTGGATGTACCTTGGCTAGCATACTCAAAGCCCTGGATTTGATCCCCAGCACTTCATGAGCTGGGCCTGGTGGCACAGCTCTGGGGAGGTAATGAGAGAGAAGTTCAAGGTCTTCCTGGGCTACCTAGGGAGTTGGAGGCTAAGGTAAAAACACACTTTAAAACTTTTTTTTTTTTTTTTTTTTTTTTTTTTTGGTTTTTTGAGACAGGGTTTCTCTGTGTAGCTTTGCACCTTTTCCTGGAACTCACTTGGTAGCCCAGGCTGGCCTCGAACTCACAGAGATCCGCCTGGCTCTGCCTCCCGAGTGCTGGGATTAAAGGCGTGCGCCACCACCGCCCGGCTAAGTTACATTTTTTTAAATTGGGAAGCTCTAATTTATCATGTGGCTTTTTGTTATGTGCTAGGGTTTCAGGAACAACAAACTACCCTAGAATTCCTAATCCTGCCTCCATCTCCTTAGTGCTGAGATTACAGGTGTATGCCACAACACCCACCTTAAAATAAGTAATATGAGCCAGGCGGTGGTGGCGCACGCCTTTAATCCCAGCACTCGGGAGGCAGAGCCAGGTGGATCTCTGTGAGTTCGAGGCCAGCCTGGTCTCCAAAGCGAGTTCCAGGACAGGCTCCAAAGCTACACAGAGAAACCCTGTCTCAAAAAACCTAAATAAATAAATAAATAAATAAATAAATAATAAATAAATAAATAAATAAGTAAAATGGGTAGTAATTTTATTTTTTATTTATTTTCTTTTTTTTTTGGTTTTTCGAGACAGGGTTTCTCTGTGTAGCTTTGCGCCTTTCCTGGGACTCACTTTGTAGCCCAGGCTGGCCTCGAACTCACAGAGATCCGCCTGGCTCTGCCTCCCGAGTGCTGGGATTAAAGGCGTGCGCCACCACCGCCCGGCGGTAGTAATTTTAAATCCCACTGCATAAAGCTACTAATGGTCAATATTAGAAATATTTGTCAGGTGGACAGATGGCTCAGCAGTTAAGAGCCCTGGCTACTCTTCCAGAGGACCCGGGTTTAATTCCCAGCACCCAAATGGCAGCTCAAGACTGTAACTCCAGTTCCAGGGTTTCTGACACCCTCATGTAGGCAAAACACCAATGATCATAAAATAAATAATTTTTTTTTTTTTGAAAAAGAATTGTCAGTTGCTTATTGGGGCCAAGCACTGTAAGATATCAAGGAGATGACTCTGGAGCAAGCAAACAGACATAGTTACTTTTGTCAAATTTACAGTTTAGTGGGGAGTGGATCTAATTCTAACATCTATAGGGACAGCTAGGCTGGGGCATAAAGGATGGATAAGTAGTTCCCTTCGGGAGGAGCAAAAAAAGGACAGAAGTTTGCTAAATCCCACCTATGTGAGAAAAGCAATAGCAAGATACAAAAAATATCCATCTCCAGGGTTATACTTGTATACACACGTGTGTGTGTGTGTGTGTGTGTGTGTGTGTGTGTGTGTGTGTGCGCGCGCGCATACATGGTGGGGGAGGGGTACAGATGCATGTAGTTCTGAAGTCAGAGCTAGCACAGGTTAAAAGTATAAATCCTCTGTTGTCTCCACCCATCAGTAATGGGAAAAGCAGAAATGCAAGAACACTAGAGAATAATACTAAACAGTGGAAAATTAAATATTGGGACCACGATTGCCTTTGTAAACATATGTATCTAGTTCAATTCTACATTTTTGTTATTAATTTTTCTAGTTAGTGCATAAAATAATTTATTATATTTCCCTACATATATATCATTATATTTTGCTCATGTTTCCCCCCACTACCCTCCTCTGCTTCTTCTCTCCACCTCTTCCCAGTTCTCTTCCTCCCTCTGGAAAAAGTCTTTTCTGCTCTCATGTGCCTCTCTCCTGCCTCCCCCCTCATATATGTATGTACACACACATACATATCAGAAAAATATTCTGTCTTTTCTCTCATGCAGAGTCTAGTACATCATTACATCTAGTTTATGTGGTACTAGGGATTGAACCATGCTCAGTTTATCCATTGCTTGGCTGTCACCCAGGGCTTCATTCATATGGGGCAAGCACTCTCCTGAGCTCACTTTGTAGTCTGGCCTGAACTCATGGAACCCCTTCCTCAGCCTCCCCTGGCTGCAGTCACATCAGGACCACACCACAGCCAGCTGCCACTCCTTGCTTAAAAAGGGGAAACTATTATGGCTCAAGATCAGACAGCAATCTAGAAATAAGAATTGCTCTACGAGGCTCTGGTTTAGCATTGAACAAAAGAGGATGAAGAGGTAGGTAGTGGTGGTGGAGGAAGAGACTTGTGAGGCATCGTTCTAAGGGAACCGAATGTACCTTCTGAGTAAGCCTTACAGAAGATACTGTTATCTTTGTTTTAGAGATGAACAAACTAAGACAGAGTGATGTCCTTTTACAACATGGTGATCCTTTGATGTCTGGTGAGACAGGCTTTGCCCTTATCTCCCAGAATTTACGTTTTTACTTATCCAAGACCTTTTCCCATAATTCCTAAGCATTGCTTTTAGACCATAAAACCCACTTTTAGGAGTGAGGTCACTTGTGCTTTACAACAGCCTAAGCGACTTCTCTGTTATCTTAGGGCCAGGCCAATCCTGACTCTCACAGACATTGTGTTTACCTCAGTCAATCTTCCTAGACCCTAAACCTTGGCCACTATCTCTGAGTCAACAGGACCCATTCTTGTGAAAGAAGCCAGATGTACTTTGTAAGGAATCTCAATGTAAGCATGTCTTAATTTATTGTGCACTTGTGGCTGAGTTAATTGTTAACCGAATGCTTCTTTCAAAATTGTGCTGTGCTGAAATACGGTTAAAGTAAAATGATCTGGGCCAGACTCTAGAAGTCCTGGTTTAGCCGGGTACAATAAAATCAGGCTGAGCCGAGTTTCATTCTTGTCTCTTCATGGAAGATTTTTTCCTGCCTGCTGTAAAGCCTGCAGGGGGATCGTCACAACAGAGTGGTTATCTTCTTACTCTTATCTAATATATAAGCAACAGAGCCAAGATTCTAACCTCGGTAATTTGCCTCCCAAAGCCCATGAATTTCCTGCTGTGCCATTTCCTGCTATGACCTCCCTTCAGTACATTGACAGTCCAGAGCCACATCTGCTGGTGCCTAACCATAGCATAGTACCATCTACTCCACAAGCTGAGATGAAGGGATAGCATAAGCCAGGAGTTCAAGACCAGCCAGGGCAACACAGCTACAGGAGACTTACACACA